TCCTCTAGCTGTTAAAAGAAAGCATCATCTACCACTTCCTCCTAGTCTGGTGGTCTACAACAGACCCCCACCACAACATCACCCTTGTTGTTCTCCCCTCTGAGCCTAACCCAGAGACTTTCAACAGGCCTATGTCCAGCTTCATACTGAGCTCTAAGCAATGATATGGCTCTTTTACATAAAGTCCTCTTTAGGCAATTTAGAGGTTACTTACGACGTTGGCTGCAAGTCTCCAGCTTTTATGCTTGTGAAGAAAATCCTGGAAGTACTCTCTATTACTGGGTGTGAGCTGCCAGCTGGCCCCGAGCTGTGGAGGGAGTGGATCTTCCCTCCATGGTGGCAACACCTCCCAGGGCCACCTTGGCATGCAGCTAGCAGATGGGTGCTTCCCCAGCTCTCAGGCAGCACCTAGCCCAATCCAACTGTTCCCTGAGCCCAAGCAGGGGTGGCACCTGCCCACTAGCAGCCTGCCTGTGCAGCTTAAGGGGCCCCCACCATTGCAGAAAGAAGGACTGGGGCCCTCCACAGCTCAGAGACTGCTCAACCACTGACAGCTCACCCCCTGACCACAGGATGTGGGCAGGCTCTAGAGGGGGAAGGATCAGGCCCCTCACCACTTCTGCCTTCAGCCCACCTCTTCTGTGGCAGGGGAATGAGTTGTCAAAGACTGCAACATTGCAAATAGCTATGTTGCAAACTAAACTACATGTGGATGCGGTTTAACTTGCAATGTAGCAAACTTATTTAAATCATAACTCCTCCCCCCACATACATGTACAGTGTGATGCAATTAAACCACAAAAATAGCCAATTTTCATCATGTGTACAAGTGCCCCTAAGTGTTAACTGCTTTTTCACTGCCTGAAGGATGCAAATAGAAGTAAGAGTGTGCTTGCTGAAATGGGAAGGCTATGAAAGACTTGAGTGTCACAGGATAACTGTTTTATCAGGCCTGAAGCAGCTGCTGATCAATCTGCCCAGGTGTCCCTCCTTAACCAGGTGGTCCTGGGGCTGTTTCCCACTCTCTGCTTGTTAATCCCCTAATCCAGGGGTTCTCACACTTTGTGAAACTGTGACCCCATAATATAATATATAAATTTGCGCAATCCCCACCATGTTTAAAACTATTGATTAAAGCCAGGGGTTTTCAGCCTTGGTTGGCGTACCCCCAGTAGTTGATCGATGAGCAGGGGAGGTGTCCCCCGGCGGCACGTTGACAAGTTGGGGGGGGGGAAGGGAGTCACCTGCGCAGAGTGTGGCAGCGAAAGCAGAAGCGCCAGTGGCACGTGGCAGCAGAAGTGGTGCAAAGTGCTGGATGGTGGAAGGGAAAAGAAGTTTGCAACCCCCTTTTAATTGCTCCCCCACAGTTTGAGAACCTCTGCCCTAATCTACCCTACAGGCTTGTTTGTCTTGCCCTCCCCTCCTCATACTCTGCTCCCTGCCACAGAGAGGGACTGAAGTGGAGTATAGATCACTGGGCAAACATAAAATTGGGGGCCCCCTCTAGATGTGCACCAATATAGCGGTTGCATATTGGAATGGCACCAATAAAAGGAAAAAGGCACCATTATCAGCCATCTGCTGTTTCTGGCCAGTGTAGCAGATTAATATCACCAATAAATTTCATCTGCAAGTGGCCAGGAACACAGCCGGGCAGTGTGGAGAGCAGTGTCCGGCCAATAAGTCTGTGGAGAGGTAGGGGCATGGGTGAGGGAAGGCACTTTCGGGAGCAGATGGAGGCCCCCACGGTGAGGGAGGGACTGAGGCAGGGGTAGGGGCTGGGGCAGGTGCAGGCATTGCTCAGCCAAGTAAATGCATGGGCAGCTTGAACTGGGATGGCAGGGGGTCCAGAGGGGGAGCAGCTCCCCACTGCTGTGTGCAACCTGGGGGAAGCATGGGGGGATGCGCTCCCCAGATTTGTGCATGGGGTGAGGGCAGGCTGCCTACTGTAGGCTAGGGGCTATGCCGACTTCTTCCCAGCAGGGGGGCTGGGCCAAGCGGTGGTGGGGCTTGGAGGGGTGGCTATGGGGAATTTTGGAATGGCCATTGCCCCCCAAGCTCCCCCTAGTGCCACCCCTGTTCAGGGCTCCCTCTGCAGCCTTTCCCTCAGAAGGCCCCATGCAGAGTGCCCCAAGCAGAAAGTGCGTGCTAGCCTTTATCCTGGTGGCAGGGGAGGGGTCAGCTATAACGTGTTCTATGGATACTGCTAACAGGGCCGGACACAGTCATAGGCAAACCAGGTGACCACGCAGGGCCTGGACTGAAAGGGGACCCAAAAACGGTAATTATCAAATTATTATCATCATCATCTCTGGCAACAGAGGCCCCTGCTACGTAAAGTTTGCCCAGGGCTGCCAGGAATCTAGGTATGATGCTGACTGCTAAGGCAACAAATCTTAGGGTGAGACAAGGTGCTTCAGTATGAGCATTGAATGAGACAGATGTAAGGAGAGTGTGAATGTACATGTGAGCACTACCACTTAAACTACTCCAGTTTCTTGAAGTACTCCAGTTGCAGTGTAGGTTTACAAGAACCTGGTTTGAATCAGGGAAGTAGCTGAGAGGAGCTGAGAAATGGTAAATGTGCACTTCCATTATTACCTGGGTGTATGCCAGGTGATCCTGGAGCACACTTAATTGGTTACTGCTAACCTAAGGCTGTGTGCCTTAAGGGCTCAGGACATGACATGCACGCACAGTAGGAACATGTATACAGACAATTACTGGTATAGGAAGACCTGATATTTCAGGAAGACTTAAATAAGCCACTATGCATGATTGCGAGCATCAAGTAGCTCAAGGATACCACAGATCTGTGGTAAATCTGGAAAAAGGTGGAAAGGAATATCCAGTTTTATGCTAAGCTACTAGAAAGTAGGAACAATTAATAATCAAACAGGCATTAGAGCCTCATGACATTATTTATGGTGACATAATTTGATTACTGATCACCATCCATTAACACAATTAAATCAGATGAAAATGAAAGAAAAAAATTATTTTTGTAAAACAAGAACCTTATTTTAATTTTTTGGTCATAGCTGCCAGTAAGCCAGCCTCGACAAGGAAGCTAGAATGTGCTCTGGACAATGCCTGCCCCTGATTAGAATACTTTGCTAGGAAATGGGAAGACAAAGCTTCAAGTCCCTTCTGAGATTTGAACATGGATTTCCCACTCCATTGGCTAGTACCCTGGCTGTTAGTTCCTTGAGCTAAAAGGTTAGAGGACCCACCCTTCTTTTTCCTTTGGGCCATTATCCACGGCCCCATGGAACCCTCTTCTGCCAAAAGCAGAAATAGAATGCAAAATCTGCACAGGTACCAAAACTTGTATTTATACAAGCACATAAGTGTTATTTAAGTGCATAAGGGTAAACAGGATTTGTCCCTGTAGGTTCAAAACTAAGTGATTCAAGAGAATTAGCAACTCTTTCCCGTTGTATTAACAATCTATTCACTATACCAACTTAAAACTGCAAAGCAGTATTCGACTGTTTTGGATAAAATTGAATAACATTTGTAAAATTATTAAGTTTGATATTTCCCTCCCAAACTGCAAGACTGAAGAGTGAAGTAGAAATAGCCCAGAAACTAATCAGGAAAAAGGAATCACAGAATCAGTGCAGCATGCTTCTACCTGTCCACCAACACCCCTTAGAACTAGTGCAACATAACCAAGGATCATGAGACTGGAGATTCATTTGAGGGTTGGGGAAACAAATAGCTGCTTTCCTCTTCCATTAGCAACAATAGTTTTAATTCTCTTTCTGTACCATTAACTTGGAGGGGTCAGAATGCACTTCCCTCTCAGGAGGGCAAGCAGCAGGCCAGGCTGGATGTTAGATACATTGAGAATTAAACACAAGAAGCAGACAGACTTCATTTATGCCAGGAAAACAATCCATGCGTTTGGGACCAAAATTTTTTTAGGACTACTTCATTAGAGAAGTGTACAGTCTCTTCTGCCATACCTTGGTATGGAAGGGGAGAAAGCAAGGACTCATTACATGACAAAAATAACATTCAGCTTGGGGCAAAGTCTATTACCACCATTTTTGAGAGGTCAGGCTTTTGTCCTGTGCAACTATGGCTAAACAGCAACAGTTTTTAAAAATATTCAGACAGACAAAATAGCTCAGTACAGTATGTTTTCTTGCAGGAAACTAGAAATCATATGCAAGTTAGACACTGATCCAGTGAGCTTTGAAAAAAGTTTCAGTGGAATACATCCAAGTATATGCAGCTGGCAGGATGATAGATAAGACATGTGCAAAGTAGAAGTGCTATTTTAAATGAGGTATTCCTTGGAAGCAGATAGCCATTAGCTGGTATGGGGAGACATGATGCATCTTCCAAAGAGCACTTGCCCACACAGGGATGTAGTTGTTGCTAAGTAGATGAGCACTCTAGTACCCTCCTCTCTCAAGTGCGCAAGAATGTAAAATTGAGTACACCAAGGGCCTTGTTATACCTTACACTGAGCCACACATGCTGATAGTGCTAGCTCTAAGTTTGGAGCAGTCACACCCTTAGTCCAGAAACCTTCTCTGACTGTCCCCCACCTACATAACTATACCTTGCCACTAGATGCCTGGTGAATAGAGGCAGGACTAGGAGCTGTAGCTGTGAGCTGCCAATAGAGGTCTAGTGCATCAGCACAGGCTTCTATCCCTGGTCTACAGGTAGCAGTGAGAGAGATCCTAGGATACCAGAAGACTTCAGCTTGGGTAGCACATCCATGGAGAGTAGCCACACCTTAATGAAACAGGAGTTGGGTAGCATAGATCAGAGATGATCCTGCCCTGGAGTGACATTAACTTTGAACCACATACCAACTGCTAGGAACCACTCTAAAAAGGTGTTAATCTGTACAAATCCAGGGATTAAAGAGCTCCAGCAGTTGCCCAAAATTACTGTACAAGGCCTTGACAAAATCTGTGCACAGAATTCTTGTCCTATCACTTTTCAGTCTCCCACCATTAGAAAGAGACAAGACCACCATTTCTATGAGTATTTATTGGTTCTCTCAAATTGGATATGCTCTTTAAGTGCAAACAAAGTTATTTTACTGCTTGAACAAACAAGAGATGAGAACATCACAGTCAATTGCATTTATAGAGTAAGAGTCAAGTTCTGATCTCACCACTTGCATACAAAGCTCAATGACACTGGGACCAACTGTATCTACATACGAGGACAGAATTTGGCTTTGCCATGTAAGACATGTTACAGTAGAAAAATGAGTTTAAACAACTCTCATGTTGAAGCCATTTTCATTCATTAAAGGAGAAGCAAGGATTCAGGAAACTAAAGAAAGCTTAGGGTTTCACAAAATTTGCCTCATTTCAATTTAGTACAGCAACTGAAGAGTTCATCCAGTTGCCAGGACAAGTTGATTGTTGTTAAAACAATTGGAAGGAAGAACCCTCCACAATTCCACACTCTTTATTTAAACACTTTAGTTTCAACTTTTCAGCATAAAAGTCTTTCAACTTAAATATTTGGGCCATTAAAATCCCTTGCTTAATTATCAGTTTGATTATAGACATGTGGAAAGGATGCTGATAAATGGAACAGCACAAAATCTGCCTTCAGTTATATCCAGGATTCCTAGGATTCTAGTGGTAAACACAAGAGCAGGATTTAGTCTATAATAAATTCAGCAACTCAGTTCTGTTGGTTGGAAGTCTGGTGAAGAACATAAGGATAATGGACGAAACTTATTTCTGCTTTATTTGTAACCAGACCTTCCCCCTTCCCTCATTTTAGACATAAAAATCAGGCACACTACCATAGTAAAACTTGACCAAAGGCACCCTCTTTGCCATCCGTCAATGAAGTGGAGGGAGAGAGAAGATAAGCAGATTTCATTTGCATAGGCAATACCAACACCTCCAAGGTAATCATTTTCATACATTTGGGCTATAAATTAAGTTTGAAGTCTTGGCTGTTGAGGCACTGAAAAAAAAAAGTTATCCTTCCTGCATGACTAGAGGTAGCAGATTTGTACTCTGCTTGCCCTGTGGAACCATACCCATGTCAAATTGCTGGAAAGAGTCAAGAGGCAAGTGCTCCTATTTAGTAAACAGCTGTTTATCTACATGCCATTTGAACACTCTGTATCCCTAACAAAGGCCCAAATGGAGAGTGTCACGATAAAGCTCAGCAGATCCCATTGAGAGCCTCTCATCATCCAAGCACTATTAAAAATCAAAATTGCCAATAAATGGGCAGAACTTCAGACTTGAGCTTGGAAGCAGCAGTGAGGTTGATAAATGACACAGTGACATCAATAGGAAAGTTCCTCCCAAGCAGTTAAATATCTATTATTCAAAATTACTAAAAAGCTGCCACTTTAGTGGAGTCTCAAATTTGGACTCTGCATTGTACTTGGAAACTGTGTGGTGCTGAGAAGCTATACAGAAGCAGCAGCAGCAAGTTGTATCCTGTGCAGAACAGTAGAATTTTAAATCACTAGACCAGGGTGGTGGGAGGTAGAATAGCAGCAGTAGCAAGACAAGAAAAAGTAATAGATTTGGCAGAAGCAGCAAGAAAGCAGCAGCAAGGCAAGAGAGATAGAGATGATGCAGAAATGGCAGCAAGGCATCTTTTCAAAGCCAGGCAACACTCTATCCTTGCTTTGCCCCCAGAGCTGGGGGTGATGAATCCACATGACTGCACATCCAGGCTTTAGTACTTTGCCAGTCTAATACTGAGGTATGAGTGAGGTCCAGAGGAAGAGGGAAGTGGCATGTGTTTGTCACATTACAAGCAGGTAAGGAGCAGCAGGAAAAGGATGACTGCAAAAAATGCCCTGAAAGATGTTTTACTGTTTGCAAGCCATTGATCCACTGTTGCTGCCTTTTCCTAAACCAACAGTGCTCCTCCCCTGAATAAGCTGTCATTCTATATACAGACTGAGCTTCTGCATGGGGAAACTATTGTCAATTAGTGCCTGTGGGGGGAGCAGAGGACACAATACTAGTTAGGCTTTGGCATCTGGGGATTTCCTCACTCAAACCTCTGCAGAAATTGGATGTTTCTATTTGAAGGAGGCTCTCACGACCCTGCCCTTCAGAGGCTGCGGAGGACGCCAGTTATCCACCAGGGGGCAAAAAGGTTCATTCTCAGCATTCATGGAAAGGCTCCGCAGCTTTGCCATCTACAAAGACCCAAAATAAAAAGGTTTGCGTGGAAACATAGAACATATTTGGGGCAAATCCAGAGCATAATGCCTCAACCTGGGGATTAGGGAAGAGTTTTCCTAGGAAAGTCATAGGAGAAGAGAGCTGAACCCTCTTCAGCTTCAGAAGCCCTTGTGGATCTTTAATTTTGGTCTAATAAAAGATATCAGATTCACCCAAAGAACCTTGGCTACATATGGCAAGTCACTTAGCAGAAGATACTGTTTCTGGCTGCTTCTTTGGGATACTCATAACCCTCATAAAGTCTTTACAATGCACATAGGATGACCATGCCTTGTGTAACTCTGGTGCTTCACAGGCAAGCCGTTTGCCAAGACACTACCCACCATGAAAGAGGTAGAGGACAGTGTCTATAGGATGACACTAGTTGTGTAAATATCATGCTTGCACAATTAGCAATAAAGTGTGCATCAATTGGATTATTAATCTGAATTAGTGATGAACCCAATCACTTTTACTAACTGTTCCAGTGAAGGGATGAAATGCCATTGTGGAATTGGCTATAGACTGGTTCCAGTTTGTGCAAGTTCTGTCCAACGGGCATAAAAGAGGTAGCTACTTGACTAGATGGGGTAGGTAATTCTGGCCTTGTATCTCAATACATTTAACCAGGATTTAGCATAATCAACTAGTTTCTGCACTGAGGTGCTTGCAGGGGCTTCTGGAGGAAGAATTTGTTTTGTAAGGTTTAAAGAACCACAAAGACCCTTGTGGCCAGCATGCAATTTTAGAGAGCATTTCAAATTTCCAAAGTTTGGGTTTAGTCCAACATGGAAAAAGAGCCTCAAAAAAAGTAGCCTGGGGAACATCCTCTTTAGAAAAGAAACAGTTTAAGCTTTTTTCACATGCTCCTAATTCTACCAACAGATCTTACTGCAGAAGTATCTAGGCTAGTAGCTGGGTATAGACTGTAGCCTTGTTGGTTTAAGGACGTAGGTAGACTAAGGGTATTTGTACCCAAGTTTGCAAGGAAGAATTTTTCCAACTATTTGAGTTGGTCTAAAAGATACCAGATTTACCCAAGGAACCTCATCTGCCTAGGCTACTAACTCTCAGTAGCCTAGATACATCTTCAGTATCTCGTGTTATTTGAGTGCAGCTTTCTGTTTTGTAAGGCCTACGTGAAATAATGCATCTGAGCCATCTCCAGGACCATCCTTGCCAACAATCAGGGAAGAAAGGCAAAGAAGAGCTAGCACCCTTCTTTGAGGTGGTGAGAGTCCCATCCATCTTATTCCTCAGCTTGCACTTATTCCCCACCACATTGTTATGCCATCAAAACCCTAACCTTTGTTCCTTGGTCATTGCCTGGCATCCTGTGATACCCTCCTACTCCCAAACTATTTACCTTCACTCAATATGGAGCTCCCTGGCCTCTAGGTGACCTGATCTTTCCTACCAACATGGCCTGGGAAGCCAGAAACTGGAACCGAGAGTTTTCAGAAGCAGCTCAGGGTTACTGCCTTTGGGGCCACCCATTCAAGTCAGAGAAAGATGGAACTGGGGCATGTGAGCAAAGTAGACGTGTGATACTGTGCCCATAGAAGACTGAAGTCCTCTACAGCACTTTTGGGGTCCCAGTCATGCTCTTATCAAGCCAATCAATAAGGTTTTCAACAGAAGGGCTCAATCAAAGTTCCCACCCCCACCACTATTTTAACTCAGAGTTGACTCATTCAGTATTCTATACAGCTCTAATGGACCTTTTCCTTACTGGAAGAGAAGTCAGAATGTGTCATGTACATCATCTGCTTAAGTGTCATGAAAGTGAGTGAATCTCTAGCTTCAGTTTACCTGGTCTGGGCTGACAACAATAGGCTCCCTTAGAAGAATCCACGTGATACACTCTTCACAAGGAGGTGTAGTGAAGGAGCCCTCATAGGTCCAGTAGTCCCGAGATTTGGGGAAAAGGATTGATGGATCAAAATGTTGGAAAGGAGCTTCTTTCCCCTTAAAGAGAGAAGACAGAAGTCTCTTCAGCAACCCATGGAGATCCCAATCCTTCTCAAATGGGGAGTCAAGTTACCAAAGAAGAAAAAAACCCATCTGTATACAAGAAGAATATCTCCATCTGCTGTCACAACTGCTCTGTAATTGTGGCTATGAAAATAAATGATGTTTCTTGGTTCAGCTGGCACATTTTAGTGATGTGCCCTAATCACTGAGCTACCGGGCAAACTGGAACAGTCATTGCCCTAAGAACTATTTCCCCCCTCTCCCCCCATGATTATCAAAACCACGTTTTTAGTGAAGAGAATCTGGGCAGTGTCAGCAGTCAGGGTAGTGGTACCCAAGTTTCCAGGCTCTCCTCCTTTGACAGCTTCTGTTTTCTGCCCCTGGGCACAAGGTGGGGTGGCATAGGCACAGGATCATTGAGGACCTGGTGCTTCTGTACTGTACAGAGTCCCAGCATGGTGAGGAGTGGGGTGG